CTAAAATTGTGTTCTGTGCCACACGACACAGCAGGAAGCACAGCCATTTGCTATAATCCTCTGTTTGGAATTTCCCAAAGCTGAGCTACAAATAAGAATGTCATCAGAGGAGTCAGGAGCCAGCTGCTGGCAGGGACCCTGCTAAGGTTAGTCAGGCAGTCACCCACCAGATTAGGGTTTCAAAGGTCAGAAAGACAACACCTTAGCGCCCACCCCCTTCCCACCTCCCAGCCCCAGTCCTGGCCACCCGGTCATTCACTCTATTCTGCCAGGCCACAGCAGGAGCCAGAGGTTAGGACACCAGTCATCTCTGGCCTGGCCTCGTATAGCAGAGAAACCCATTTAATAATGTAAAATACCCCTTGATGTCTAAGAGGTGGAGGTGAACAAGGACCATCCATAGGATGGATACCATTACAAGGCAAAGAATCACAACCAACAGACAGGGCCATACAAAATGCCCAGGCATTAGAGTGACTCATTGAGAGCCAGGCCTGCCCAGGGAGAGTGAGACCCCTGGCAAGACATCCCCCAGAGGGTGGGCTGACCAGTGGCGCTCAACCCCAGGGATGGCAGGGCAGCACGCACCATCACACATCCTAATACACAAATCGGCAAAATCCCCCTGGCAACCCTCCCCACAGCCAGGGAACGAACAAAGCCCTTCACCAGCATCTGAAAGGAGATGATTCCTCCATCAGAGGTTCGCGGGGCTCCGACCATGTGTCCGCAGCCATCAGGGCAGGAGGACAGAAAGATCAGTAAGGTCCTACCCTCAGCAGGATGAGACTCTGGTTACAGGGATGGGAGGTGCGTGACACACGTCATGGCAGAGTGGACTTTTAGAGACCATCTCATCCTCTCCCTTCCCTCTTGATGAAGCAATGGAGACTTGCCCCTGGTCACAAAAGCAGTGACACTGACAGGATGCCCAGGGCCCAGTCCAGCCCTCTGCCACAACCCCCAGGGAAGACTTGCCCCCAGGAACTGAGACACCCCCCCCACCAATTTGCCAGATCCCTGTTCCTCTAAGAGGACACCTCTACACTTCCACATTTTGGGTCTGATGAACATTTGACCAAAATATTCATCAAAATGGCCGATGAATATTTAAAATTCTTTTGAAGTGTTTTGTTAACATGAGTTCATCTCCAAGGAACTGGCTCATGGAATATGAGCTCACCTTCCTGAACCTCCACTTTGGTTTTAGGGTGCGGGAAGGGGGCAGACATCACCCCCATGAGAGGTCCCTTTCTCTGGGAGTCAAACCACCCCTACCACCAATCACCCCCCAATTTAAATCCCAACACTGCCACTTACTAGCCAGGTGACTAGGCAAATGACTTCTCTCTGTGCCTCAGCTTCCTCACCAGTAAAATGGGATAAAATTAGTACCTACCTTTACTATTTACTATGAGGATCAATTGGGCTTCCCTGGTAGCTCAGTCAGTAAAGAATCCACCTCCAGTGCAGGAGATCCTGGTTCGATTCTTGGGCCAGAAAGTTCCACTGGAGAAGGGATAAGCTACCCACTCCAGTATTCTTGGGCTTCCCTGGTGACACAGACAGTAAAGAATCCACTTGCAATGCGAGAGACCTGGGTTCGATGCCTGGGTTGGGGCGATCCCCTAGAGGAGGACATGGCAACCCACTCCAGTATTCTGGCCTGGAGAATCCCATGGACAGAGGGGCCTGGTGGGCTACAGAGGAGTCTGGCAGGCTACAGTCCACAGGGTCACAAAAAGTTGGACACGGCTGAGCGACCAAGCACAGCACATGAAAACACTTGGAAAGGGCTTACAGCAATAGTCAGCAGGCAGAAAAGTGCTTCTAAGGGTTAGTTTACCAAAAATGCCTTTAGGTCTCCTCCACCAAAAACGCGAGGGAACAGTCACCGTCTTGCACTCTAACCACCTCCTCAGTCTTCTCCCTCTTCTTTTCCTGAAAATGTTTCAGAAACAGCAGCTGTGCCTGGAGGCCCTCGGGGTCCGTGACCTCTGACCCCCTTCCCTGTGGTCTTCCCCTCCCCAGCCCCTCTTCTGAACCCTGCAGTCAGCCCCTGCCGGCCTCCCTCAGCCCCGGGCCCTCCCCGCAGCCCCGTCTCAGGTTTCCAGAGCTTCTCCCTCCCTGAGCCTAACCTCCCCTGGGGAGACGCCCTCCCCAGACCTCCGTCTGTTCTGCTCCCTCCTCTCAGGAACAGGGGTCCCCGACAGAGCACAGGGCCAGCACCGGCCTTTCTAGATTCCTTGCCTGCTCCAGAGTCCGAGTGTCTGACCAGCTCTTCCGTGTCTCCAACCGGAAGACACTGAACCGTTCTGAAGCCGTGTGTTTGGACTGGCCCTCCCAGAATCAGTCCCTTTAGTGGCATCACCACAGTCCCTGTCCCCCCAGCGCAAGCCTCCTCCTAGCTTGCTGGCTTTCCTGTCTCTAAAGCTCCGCTTTTATCCCCATGGCAAACTGTCCAGCACCCAACTTTTCTAAACTGGAACTCGAAACTGACTTCCTAAATGGAGATGATACAACAGATGATTCTCACAAACACTTCAATTATTTGTGTAAACTTGGACTTGGCTAAGTAGCTTCAGTCAGGTCTGACTCTTCATGACCAACCCTATGGACTGTAGCCCTCCAGGCCCCTCTGCCTGGATTCTCCAGGCAAGAATATTGGAATGGGTTGCCATTCCATTCTCCAAGAGATCTTCCCTACCCAGGGATTGAACCCGCGTCTCCTAGGTCTCCTGCATTGGCAGGCAGGTTCTTTACCACTAGCACCACCTGAGAAGCCCTGTAAATGGGGGGGGGGGGTGGGGAGCAAAAACAAAGCCCCTTGTCTGAGTCTATTGAAACTTTCCCCAGGGACCCAGCAGTCCGCTCTGATGAATGCAAGGTCTCATCTAATCCTCATGAGGCGGTTTAAGATCTTGTTTTGCAGATGAGGGAAGTTCAAGGTAAAAGATGAGAGGAGTAACAGGACTCAGTTGTGTCTGACTGTCTCCTTCTTTCTTACACTCCAAGCTAAAAGGACAGCAACAGATGGTCTGGTGGAACCTAAGAAGGCCTTCAATATCAGGGAAATTAAAAACACATACAAACTTTCAGAGAGAGAGAGAGACTGCATGTGTGGTCCTGGGATATGTCTTGAATTATTGAGGGTAACCCCCACCCCAGACACACCTTTACTGAGGAACCTCATCTAGATACAGAGGCAACTCTAATGGGAACGTCACGTGCCCTTTCCCTAGCTTTTCGTGCTAGAACTAAGTGGGGACCGGCATACAGTCTTATCTGAAAGCAACAATTCTGAGTCTCATGCCTCCCTGCTAAAAGAAAAAGGATTCATTCCCACGTAGACATGGTTGGCTGAAGCCCTTTTTGGAAATGGGCTATCAGAGTTTGGGCATGGGTTCAGCTATGCAGAACTCCCATCCATTAGAATCGAGCACATGTGGGAATGAAAAATGCACAACTGCTGTATGTCATCTGGGCCATCAGCAACCATGAAAGCCACAGCAAACGCTGACATAAATACAGGAAAATCCTGAAGCCGTTTAGGCCAACTGCACTTTTCCAGAAGATGAAATGACCATTACTTCTCCCATTAAAACGGAGTAAAGCTAGGTAGAATAAGCAGGTCTAAGGCACTAGCTGGGAGGAACTCTCTGACCCAGGCACCACTCTGAGAGAGAGGGGAGGGGGAGAAAGTCAAACTGAGCCTTGTGTGCAGACCTGCTAAGTGTTTAAAATACATGAGGTATTTCTGTATAGTAAGTCCCTAACTGGGCAAGGTCTCCTCCATTTTGCAGGTGAGAAAGGTGATATCAAAGGAAGAAGACACATTCTCTTCTTGCCCCAGTTCTCAAATGGACAGGCAACAGCACTCACTATCAACCAACCTTCCAGGAAGCACTACAGAAGAAAATCACTTCTCCTTCTCCTTCTAAACTTAGAGACAAACCCTTCTCAATCTCTAGACCAAGACAAACTTCTCACGGGCAATGTCACTGATTCATACAAGTGGCGGTGGCCACCATCCGTCCTTAACTCCTTCACTTGAAATCGGGGAAAAACAACTCAGTCACAGCTTTGGAATGCAAGTTATAAAAACAAGTAATTCACCGCCACTGGCTTCTAATAAAAGGCAAGGAACCTCTATAAGACTGAGTTTTCTCTTACAGAAATGTGTGGTGGGAGAAAGTGACCAGTCTGCGTTCTGACTGCACGTGGGCGCAGGGCTGGTGGGAGGGCGAGACTGGACCTTGAGCACTGGCCACGGGGCCCTTCCTGCCACGGGTCCCCAAGGGGACAGGGAAGGATGCAGAAGAGCACCCACCGCCCCTGTCTATGCCTGCGCCCATCCACACACTCCTTTCTTTGCAGGGCTGCAGGAAACGCTTTCGGGTATTTGTCCTAGGTGCTTTCAAATTCAGAAGTCACACGGTTTCGCCGGGTTCTCCGAAGAGGGGGCGGGCTCCCGGCTGGCCGGCTGGGTCGGGGCCGGAACTGACAGTACCCGAGCGGGGGCCACAGGGGCGCCGGCCGCCACCCTAGACGCTTTACGGGGGCCCTCCCCACTCCCCACCGTGAGCTTCCTAGGCCGCCGAGGTTACGGGAAGGCAGAGAGCTCGTCAGACCCTCGGATCCCCGACGGCCTGGGATCCTAGGAACGGTCGGGAGGGCGGTGACCGAGACCCCTTGGGGGGCGCGCCTCCGGGCGCTGGGCGCTAGAGCCCCGCGCGCCGAGCCCCCGACCTCCCCGACCGCCCGCTGTCTCGCTCCGCGGCGGGCACAGGTGCGCGGCTCGCGGCGCCCTGGAGCCGACTCCGGGGGAAGTTTCCCTGGCCGCGCGCGGCGCGCGGTGTACGGTCTCACCCTGCAGCGCGGGATCCCGGAGCGCTCCGACCAGCCCAGCCATTGAAACCCGATACGCGGGGTGGGGCCCGCGCGGAGGCCGGCGAAGGAGGCGGGCGGGCCGGCGGCCGGGCTGCCCCTGCGCCCCTTACCTGCGGCTCCACGGGCGGCCTCCGCGTCCATGCTCCCGCGCTCGCCCGCGCCCCGACCCGGCCGGGTCCCCAGGGGTGCCGCCGCACCGGGATCCGCGGCGGCCCCGCCCGCGCCCTGAATTGCCCGGGTCCCCATGGCCCCCGCCCCCTGCCCCGGGGCTATCGACCTGCAAGCTGTCGCTAGGGACCCCGGCTCCCTACACCGTTTGCACAGCGACTTTTCATCACTCATCACCACCTCTGAGGAGTAGTGAGTCGTTAGCATTCCTCTGGGGCTTCCCTCGTGGCTCAGATGGTAAAGAATCCGCCCGCAATGCGGGAGACCTAGGTTCCATCCCTGGGTCGGGAAGATCCCCTGGAGAAGGGAAAGGCTACCCACTCCAGTATCCTTGTTTGGAGAATCCCAAGGACAGAGGAGCCTGGTGGGCCCCAGTCCACGGGGTCGCAAAGAGTGGGACAGGATTGAGCGACTTTCACTTTCATAGACTAACTATTCCTGTTGGAAGAGAAGTTGTTCGCATCCTCACGTCCTCACCAAGGCCCCTGGGTCCGGCACTCCACTCTCTGGGCCCCTTCCCACTTTTTTCTACTATTTCCATTTCTGTGGGCAAGAATCCCTGGTTTTATACCTTTTTGAAAATGTATACAGTTGAAAAGACGCTCAAAGACAACAATGACACTCAAAGGCAGGGCATCCGGTAATTTTTTCTGCCCATTTTTCTGTTTTTTTCCTAACAACTGTAAAGTGCTTTTTCTAATAACTAATACTTTTATTTATTAAATATTCAAGCTTGTACTCACTTAAGATAGCAAAATTCAGTGAGAAACAATTGCTTCTCTAGTATTCTTCTTGGCCCATTTCAGGGTGTTTTTTGTCAGGGTGGTTTTAAAACACCAGTGGCCTTGGGACCCAAAGGCACCTCCCCTCTTTGGCTGGCAGCTCTGGAGTTTGCCCTTCTGGCCTGGCTCCCTCCAGCTCCATCCTCAGCCTTTCTGGCCCTCTGCCCCCAGGATGGGTCTAGAGTTCATTTCCCTGCTTTCTCCCTCCACCCCAGCCAACACTGGCTCAGGGGAGCCTCTTAGCTACTCCCCACAATGCAACCCTACCTTTGGGGCAACCTGCCTGAGGAAGACCAGGGGATCCCTAAGCAGAAGATGAAAAATGGCCCCAGTTTCACTTCCGTTGCATATCACTGCAGTATCTGATGTGTCCAGAGCTGGAGGCTCCCCTTAGAACCACTCTGACTCATCTCTTGCAACTGTGAGATTTCATTTTCTACAATGACGAAAACACAGAGCTTCTTGAGTGACAGCATTTCAGACACTCATCTCCTCCAAACACTCCTTGTTTTCATTCAATGCATATTTGTTAGTTTCCTACTATGGGCCTTATGAGACCTCCCAGGTGGCGCTAGTGCTAAAGAACCCACCTGCCATCACGGGAGATGTAAGAGACACGGGCTTGATCCCTGGGTTGGGCAGATCCCCTGGAGAAGGGATAGTCTACCCACTCCAGTGTTCTTGCCTGGAGAATCCCCACGGACAGAAGAGTCTCGCAGCTACAGTCCACAGGGTCACAAAGAGTTGGACATGACTGAGCAACTTAGGGCCTATACTGTTCTAGATTCTAGGGATTCAGCCGTGAACAAAATGGACAAAACCTGCCCTCAGGGAGGCTACTTTCTGGGCAAGAGTGGGCAGGAGATAAAGAGAACAAAATAGTATGTTAAATAAGGGGAAAAAAATAGAGAAAGGGGATGGGAGGAGGGAAAAACCATGAAGAAAACGAGCAATGTGGGAAGGGAAAATGGCCAAGGCTGCAGCAAGTACAAAGGCCCTGAGGTGGGAAGAAATCTCTTTTTCAGCCCCTGTGCCTGTGTGGAGCCCCTGATAAATCCAAGGATGCTACTTAAACTGTTGGCACATAGGGCTAAAGATTTATTAATCCCAGCTGCAAAACATACAATGTTTGTTTGAACAAAATACATGCAAAGGCCTTGACACTTTTTTTTTAAGTTTTTGTGTTGTTTTTAAAATTACTTTCATGGTTACTTTCTGAATTCCTGTTACTTTTTTAAAAAGAAAGAGCTGTAAAGTAAAAAGTTCCCTGCTTCTCAGCTGCTTATTCAACTCCTGTCCCAAAGTTAGAGCTAAGTCAAATACTTCTTTTCCTTTATAGTTTCTGAGTGTTCTGTCTTGCTTGGGTAGGCTGAGACCACCCCCAAATTAGAAATAAATCCTTCTACATTTGCTTTCAGTGTTTGTACTACTTTGGGTCTTTAGATTTGAATTTTAAATCCAACTAGAATTTATTTATGTATGTAGAATAAGGAATACATCTCACTATAGCCAATTCTTCCAACACCATCAAATGGTCCATTCTTTCCTCCACTAATTTTAATTACTTCCTTAACCATTTATTAAATCCCTATATACATTACGACTCTTGCTTTATTACCCTTTTTACTATTTCTACAATAGCACACTGTTTGAATTACCACAGCTCTATCATATATTTAAATATCTGAGAAGACAAACTTGCCCTCATCAAATATTAGAACCAACTAATTAAGGACATTGAGGTTTGATGGAGATTGTGCCTAGTTTTGAACACTGACTTGCAGAATATTAACATCTTCAAAGTTTTGAATCCTTTCATCAAAGAACCTAGCATACCTTGCTTAGTCAAGTCTTTGACTTTATTCTTACTTTTTTTTTTTTTGATGTCAAAGTTCTACAGTTCTTATAAATGGGTCTCATATGTTTCTTGATAGGTTTATTCCTATATATTTCTGATATTTGTTGGCTATTTTTAATGGCTCTTTCTTTTCTTCAACTACATTTATTAATCAATTATTGCTCTTATATAAGAAAATTGTTAGCTTGGGTAAATGCCAGTCTCACATCCAGCCAGTTTTATGAGATCCAGTAGTTTCTAAAATCAATTATCACAGAATTCCTAGGTAGACAATCAGATAGTCTGTGAATAAGTTGTTGATTTCTAAACCATCCTCAAACCTACTTAGCCACATGGCGCTCACTTCTGACACCAAAATTACCCTGACTCTAACAAAGAAAAATGAAAAATATTGTTTCTATATGTAAACTGGAAAATGGGGGCCTGGAGCTTGCTTTCAGGATGGTCTTCCCTTCATTCCAGGAGGTTGTTAAGCACTCTGCTTCATCCTTCAAATGGCCTCACTCATCCACACAGGAATTTCCTCAGTGTTAAGAACACAACTGTTCTAGCCATTCCCAAGGTATTTGTGAAATTTGAAAGAAAAATCCAGTATTTAAACAATCGGGCTAGTGAGGTATTGGATTTTAATAAGTAAACTGCGGCTTTAGCCACAGTTGTTACTTTTCAGTCAAGAGAATGTAGTCCTTAAAAAAAAAAAAGAAAGAAAAAATCAAGACTTAGCAAAAAATCAAAGGAAAAATACAAGACCAAGGAAAAATATCCACAGACTTTTCTCCTATAAAATGTAAGAAAACTGTTTGAGGATGGTTTAGAAGTCAACAACTTATTTATAGACTATCTAATTGTCTACCTAGGAATTCTGTGATAATTGATTTTAGAAACTACTGGATCTCATAAAACTGGCTGGATGTGAGACTGGCATTTACCCAAGCTAACAATTTTCTTGTATACAAGCAATAACTGATTAGTAAATGTAATTGAAGAAAAGAAAGAGATTTACAGTAAAATAGATTTACAGTCTATCACAGCAGACTGTCAGAAATTTTAAAGCACTAGTTTTCAAGCTATTAATTCAAATTTCATAGGTGAAGTTACAAAAATGATTATCTTTCAAACCAGTTTCCCATGAAATGCTAAGATAATCCCAGCATTGTTGTGGTCTCTAACATACCAGTTTCCTAATTGTTTCAAAACAGTTTTAAATGGTTGTTTCAGAATGTTATAAAAGTCTCAAATTTTTTATATTTAAATAAGTAAATGTCATAAGCATTGAGAACGAGGCTTTAGTAGGAAGGTTAAAAACATAAATACATGGCATCTGAACTCTCCCCCAAGATGAAGCACAGCTTCGGGATTCTTTCTTACCTGGGTGGTGGAGCCAAATCTTGCCCAGCACAACCTGCAGTTACACACAGATGAGTGAGAAAAAATATCAGTGGATAACTGCTTCAGAGAGCTAATTCCACAGCAGTTAAAAATCATAAATGGTATCATTTTTGAAAACAAAACTGTCTACCATATTCATTCAGAATGCTCCTCTAATTTAACACCTGGTGAACCTAACAAAAAAAGAGAAAGCAATGGGTTTTTGATGGAACATTCTGAATTACTTAATCCCTGCTTTGATTTTAATTAAAACCTGCTCACTTAACTGAAAATGTGTTCATGTATACCACAAGGTCACTTTACCACCAGCTGTGTCATGTTCTGTATAGGAGAAAAATTGTATTCTAGGGCAGCATTTGGCAAACTACAAGATACAGCCCCTATCCAGCCCACTGCCTATTTTTGTGCAGTTTGTGGGCTAGAATAATTTTTACATTTGTAAATAGTTGAAAAAAAGTAAAAGGAGAATGACAGTTTGTGACACATGGACATTAAAATTTCAGCATCCGTAGATAATTATTGGTACACTGCCACACCCACATTTGCATATTATCTATGGCTGCTGGAAATACCATGTGGTCCACAAGCTTAAAATATTTACCCTCTAGCTGTACAGAAACTGTGTGTCCACCCCTGCTGGATTATTAAGGTGAAAAAGCAAAGTGATAGGGGAGGTTGACACCCAAAGGCTACCTTAAAAGAGTGACATTTTTCAAACTGCTTTGACAAGAGGCAGTTTGGCTATCAGTTCTATGTCTTATGGTAGAGTAAGTAGCTGATTTGGAAGCAGTGATGTTTGACAGAGGAGAGTTATTGTTATTCATTATTAAATTATCATCATTATTATTATCTTAACCACCAGTGCTTCTCGCTGATTTATTTTCTCCACCTCCTAAGAGGAATTTGACCAGTTTGATTACATCTCATTTATGCAAGTGTACAAA